TTGAAGTCATTTCCCCTTGTCCTATCACTATATGCTCTTGTTGTAAAAAGTCCCTCTCCAGTTCTCCTGTGGGCCCCATTTAGATACTGGAAGGTGCTACAAAGTCTCCCAGGAGTCTTCTCCTGGCTGAACAGCCCAAACTCTGTCATTCTTTCCTCATAGGAGAGATGTTCCAGGACCTGATCATCTTTGTGGCCTCCTCTGGGTTCATTCCAACAGGTCCAGCCTCCACCCCACACCCAGACAGCCAGGCAGCCCCAGCCCTGGGCACCTTCCTGAGGATAGGGACAAGCCAAGGCCAGCCTGGTATATTGGTCCGTGGGCAGGGATCCCAACCAGCAAAGTCAATGACCAGGAGGAGCAGGGCCTGACAGCTTTGGGAGGCTGAAACAGTTTCCTGGGCCATGGATAGATGGGGAATTCTCATGAGAAGCTGGTCTGGACCATAAGTGTGCCTGCACCCCTCATGCCCTAATGCTTGAGATACCATATGTGCTCTGGGTAAATTATTTCCCCAGATAAGGATGATGCTGAGTGAAAGGGTCCGCTACCCCACACATTATGAAAGTAACAGCTTCCAAAGATAAAATGGGAATTTTAGCAACAAGGCTTAACTAAAAAAATGAACAAAGGTTGAGTTGATATCAAGTTCTGTCTGCTCTGGGTTTGGTTATTGCAGGTCCAGGAACAACTGGGCTCTGGGCAATGAGCTGGGCAGGATGCACAGCAGCCACTCGTCCCCCATCCTTGTTCTGCTCATGTCTGGCTGTGTCTCATACAGACACCTTCATCTCTTCTACCCATGTGCAAATAACTCTGACAGAACATGCAATGGGAAGGATGCACAGGCACCTCGTTTGGTGCTCAGCACCCTTTCAGGATAAGTTATCACAGTGCTGAACCCCACAACAGCTTTGGTCTTTCGTGGATGGAGCCAGTTATTTCTGAAAAGAAGTAATAATACAAATAGTGCTGATCTGGAAGAAAAATAATTTAGTGCTGGAAATTAAGTATAAATTAAATATCTTAAACATATTCTGTTTCAGAAACAGAAGTAGGAAAGTTTTATCCAGTTTTGGAAATCTATAGTATAAACATTTGTATTTGTCCTAGTCAACCCCTCACCTTCCTTCAAAGTCAGCACAGGAAGGCAGGCACCATTAGGACATGAATCACCCAGCCTGAGATGTCTAAGACAGAAATTCTGTCTTCTAAGAGTCTGTTTCTCTCCTCTGCTGACTAAAAGGAGATTAACTTGGTGCAGATGATTAACTTGGGTGCAGCCATACACCTTTTGGAGGCATCTCATTTGTGATAATCAAGGAATGAAGATCAGCTTGCTCAGTCCTATCTGTGTTTGAAATCTTCACACCAACCCACATACGAACACAGCTGTTCAAAGACCCCCCTTGTAGTAAGATTGACATCTGTGAGCACAAGTTTCATTAATTTAGTTCAGTTTTGCTTTTAAAAACATGTTATTTGTGGCATCTTTATTCCATAACCCTTTATCAGTGAAAATGAATTGTTTCTGTTACAGATACAGTTGAAGCTTCCCTTTTCTGAAAAAAATAGTCAAAACCCACTGCTCAAGGACATCGGTGTGAGCAGAAATGTGATAGACTTTTGCTCCCTCTGAATACACAACTGAAAATGTTGAGCTGGAGCTATCATGAATGCCACAATTTATATTGCTGCTGGAGATGCCCTTTCTGGAGTACAAACTTGAGAGTGCAGTGGACAGTAATGAGCTCTGCCAGAACTTGCTGGAAAGACACTGGCTGAGATAATCTCTGTTTTATCATTCACTGGGAAATTGTTACTAGCAAAACCACCTATTTTCTACTGTGTTTACATTGTCTAGCAATTTTGCATTCAATTGTCTTATTTTGCACCAAAATCTTAAATCAAGAAATACCACTCTCAGAGCATCTGAAATATAAAGACATCAGGATTCAAACATTTAATACCAGATGTTTTCACATTTGCAACAAGCAATAATAATTGCTATAACTAAGCTGTGGCTCCTCAGCAAAAGTTTGGCAGTTGATATTTAAACCTATATATTTGATTTTCCTTCAAACCTTTGAAGAAAACTCCAGATTACCCCTTTCTGAGGTTGCATAAGGATAAACATTATAACAGATACTATTCAGTTCTCTTCTATATTTTCTCAAATTTTGCATTCTACATTACCGTAAGCATTTATACAGAAGCCGTGGTGAGACAAACAGCACTGCTAATTGTCCAGCCATTGAATCATGCCTCAGCTGTCTCCGTCCCTGTTAAGTGTATTCTATATACATCACACCCACTCTTGTGCTAGTGAAAAATTAGAAATGTTGGAATTTCTACAGAAATTTGTGTGGAAAGGCTCATTATATTTATTTTGGATCATGCTTCCTCTCTAATGTTAAGACCAAATAGATGGGTTTTTTTCTGTGCATTAGAGAAGCTGCATTACCAAGAAAGATGTCCTTTGAGAATTGGTAAGGTCTCTGTGACCTAGGTTACCCTGACAGATTAACTTCAGGTTTGCTGTATCTTCTCCAATTATAAGTTATGGCCCAAGGCAATGATCCATCAGGCCAGGTATACCTGTTACTTGGGACTTACAATGGCAAAGGAGGGATGGCATTTCCTGCCCACAGTGAACAAGAAAACTGTCATTACCTAATATAAGTCATCACATCTAAGGAAAAGACAGATGTTGGAGGAAATATTAAAGAACTTCAGTCCTTGGTCTAAGGGTGGGGGACCCCTGTGACAGAGCACAGGAGCAAACCCAAAGTCCTTGTGAAGTGCAGTCTGGACCCTACTGAAGCCAGCAGTAAAAATCCCACTTATTTCAGCATGCTGAATCCTCTGGATTCAGTATATGGCAGAATCATCCCCTCATTAGTGAGTGGCAGGTGATGTCTCCATTCTCTGCTGTGATGCTCAACTGCAAAACAGAAACTATGGGAATTATCCCCATCAGCAAGAGAGAACAAAGCAAGACTTACTGTGAACACTTGCACAGCACACAACCACTCTGAGACCAGAGGTGATGGAGAAGTGGGGGCAGTCAGAGAGCACCTGGCTGCCTTCTGTTTATCAGGAAATAACTTCATCTGACAATTTATCATGGTGAAAAGTATCAGGGATAAAAAATTCCCTTTATCAGAAATTTTGCTAGACTGGAATCAGAGGCCTGTAATGAAAAGCTAGTATTAAAGTTAGAGGATCAGAAGCAAGAAATCTTCATTGTTTGTTGGTGGTGCATACACAACCATTCTGAGTGATTCTTTCTCCACAGAATGCAACCAGCAGGAAGAAACAAGGGCACTAAAATCCAATCTAAACATAATCAAATTTGCAACTCACTCCTAGGTCACCACTAGCATATTACTATAGATTTTCAGCTGGAGGAAAGCACTATAGAACTACAAAGAAAAGCCTATCTCAGGCTTTTATAATAATTTTTACTATAAATTTTAAGCAAGAAAGCATACATTTACTGTATTTAGCAGCAGGATTAATTTCTTATTTTTCTTGTGCTCCATCAAGTTGAGACTAGCTGCTGCTAGGAGCAGCTCTAAGGAGCTTGACAACATTCCAGATATGTTTCTTTGTAGGTAAAGATAGCCACTTCACATCCAGCCCACTCCCAGCTCCCAGGTGACTTTGCCCAGCCTCTGGCAAGGTGTGACACTTACACACAGGGCAGGCTGTTCAGTAATGGATACTTCTCAGGCACCTTTCAATGGGTGAGCAACTGGCTGATGTGTCAGATGTAAAGGGTTGTAGTGAATAGAGTCACATCAGAGTGGCAACTGGTCACATATGGAGTTCTTCAGGGCTCTATCATGGACCCTGTGCATCTTCAAAAGCAACTTTGGATGCAGGACTGGAAGGGATACTAATTTGGGAAGAGAAATCCTTGATGAAAGGGCTGGTCAATCACCAACATTATGAAGTTCCACGAGAAAAAAGTGTTTGATTCTGCACCTGAGACAGGTCACTCTTGGATGTATGGACAGACTGGGAAATGAGAAGCTGGAAAGCAGGGCCATGGAGAGACCTGGGGGTCCTGGTTGATGGCAATATGAAGGTGAGCCAGCAGTGCTTTGGGAGCCAGGAGGGCCAACCCTGTCCTGGGGGCATCAGGCACAGCACCAACAGCTGGGCAAGGGAGGGAATTGTCCCACTCTGCTCTGCACTGGGGTGGCCTCACCTCAAGTGCTGGGGGGCAGTTTTGGGTGCTACAACACAAAAAAGATATGAAACTATTAGAGAGTGTCCAAAGGAGAGCCATGAGAATGGTGAAGGGTCTGGAGGGGAGGCTGTACATGGAGTAGCTGAGGTCTCTTGGTCTGTTCAGCCTGGAGGAGGCTGAGGGGAGACATCACTGAAGCTACAACTCCCTCATGAGAAGAGGAGGAGAGGCTGGCACTGATCTCTTCTCTGTGGTGACCAGTGACAGGACCAGAGGGAAGGGCCTGGAGTTGTGTCAGGAGAGGTTTAGGTTGCTGTTAGAAGAAGGTTCTTCACCCAGAGGGTGATTGGGCACTGGAAGAGGCTTCCCAGGGCAGTGGTCACAGCATCAAGCTGTCTGAGTCCAAGAAGCATTTTGACAATGCTCTCAGGCATATGGTGTGATCCTTGGGGTGTCCTGTAGAGGGCCAGCTGGACTTTGATGATCCATACGGGTCCTTTCCAGCTCAGCAAATTCTATGATTCTATGAATGTGTGGGGCTTTTTTCCTGATTGTCATTGTTCTGATGTTTGTTGGTAAGCAGGAAGCTTCTTGCTACCCCTTCCCCATTTGATGTCAGAAGTGGTGCTGAAGTGCTTGTTCTGTTTGCCTGTGTGATACAGCAGGTACTCAGCCAGTTAGACAAGAGTGAACAGCAGTCACAAGCACAAGGACAAAGCAACAAATGGCTGAGGAAAGGAAAAGTCTTATGCAGATCTAGGGGAGACCAAAGGCAATATTTATTTTTCTCCCTTTCCATTTGTTCCCCTCCCTTCCTCTGCACATCGCCAGAGGTGTCAGCAATGACAAGTTGCCCTTTATACCCCTGAGCCCAGGTCATTTTCAGACAGAAAAAAGTCACTGCCACCCATCTCCCAGAAAGCTGTTTAACAAGCTGGATTTTTTTTTATCATCCTTTTGTTTTGATCCATTTATCCTTTCATAACCGACCAAGCTTTTCCGCGGGTGGCTCAGTTTGCATTTGATGCAATGATCATGGTGTGTGCAGAGAGCGAATGGGTTATGGTAGGCAGCTCCCCTGCTCCAGCACCTGCAGTTTGATGCCAGCACACTTCATGGCTGCCAGCATGCAATGACTGACTGTCCTCCTCCTCCCCGTCGTCTCCATTTGGATGCAGTGAGGGCGGATCTCTCCTTTGGGGCACTGGTAAGGCATCAGGCAGGAGCACTGGGTCTGCGTCTCTGGGAATGAATGTGTGGAAATATAGCAGCAAATGTGATGACTAAAACCAGATTTTATACTTTGATGACATTTCAAAGTTCAACAGGGAAAAACACTAGTGGATGTTTGTGATATATTAGTTACAAAAAGCCTGTAGTGCATTCACTAGATGGTTGGATATTAGGAATAGAGGCATAATCAGCTTTAAATAACAGTTTTTTTCAGCAATGGCCCATACAAAAGCAGAATTGATCTAACTGCTTTTATCCACTGGCTTTCCCTGACTTTTCTTCTAAACAAAGATATATTAAGTTGACTTTCTTTTCCCAATTATCCTTGAACACAATCTTGCTATGAAATGGAGTCTTAAGGTCCATATTGTGTCAGCTCCTATTTCATTAAAGCTCTCTTTATGAATACTAAGCTACCTACTGCTGGCCTGTGGTAAAGCTCAGTCCTGCTGGTTATTTCATTACCCATTTTTGATCTAATCAGGTTCTGACTCTTTATATTCTTTCCCAGAAATTCCCTAGGCAGAGTTTCTGCCTTCAGTTTTTTACAACATGAAAAATGTATGCTTTCCTCCATTTAGCTTCTTTCATGACACTGCAGTATCTTCTCTGCAGTATGTTCTGTTCCTGTGTTGATACCAACTACTCACTTTCAGGAAAAACAAAACATTCATTTCCTAAATGTTTGTGCACACTCAGGAAAAGTAGACTTCTGTGGAGATGGTAAAGAGTCCAGTTCTAATCTCTTGAGCACCACACTGACAACTAATTTTATTTAATACATTTTTCTCCCCTTTCTCTTATTTTTCTGAACAGATCTCCTCTGTAGTCTTTTGAGAGAAAAACACTGAAGTGCTGGCACAAGATCCAGCTTGAAGACACTTGCACAGTAGAAGCAGAACTAGGCTTCTTAGAGGCTCTGGAATAAGCAATTAAAAAAAATTACTACCTTTTTCCCAGGAGCACATGGTACCTAGAGGCTCCACCAGAGCATGTCCATTGATGGACATACCTGGTCATGCCCTCTGCTTGAGCCCACAAGGGACAACAGGTCATGCAGTAATTTTACAGCCATATTTACTTCAAATTCTCTGCTGCAGAAATCTTGCATCTTCAAAACAGAGGCTTGGGATTGCTGCACACTGCTGTTGCTTTATTTATCATTAAGTAGACCAGGTGTGATAAGAATCAGATTTGTCTCTGGCAGCAAGGGACGGAGTGAGCATGTGTGTCACTCAGCCTTTACCTGGCAAACACTTGATATGAGCAGAGCCAGTCAGCCCCTCAGACATTTACAGAAAAACCTACTACTTATCACCGGGTTACACAGTAAATAGCCAAGCTGCACAATATTGTTTAGAAAATAATCCTCTTAGGTTTTTTTACCAGCTTAGCTAGTTCATTAAAAATCTTGACAGACACAGTTTTCACATATGTGTTTTTGCAAATTTTACCATTAAAATCCCATTAAGGCTGATGGCCCCAGTCTTGCTTTTGAAGTAGTATCATGATTTAATTTCACAATTTAATCATATGTTATAGAGGGTGTGGCCCAAATTAATTCCTGAAGTACAAACTAGGAGCTAGTAGCTTTACAAAGAATGGGTGAAAATATTACCAACTACATTTTTGTGATTAAAGATTCAAATGTTAGTTCTCCTGAAAAAGTTATCTCAATTTCCAAGTTCCTCTTGTGCCTTTCTAGTGGTAAGTAACAACACTACACTAGTTGTGAGTAAAGGGAAAAGGCACATATCTAAGTGTAACCCTAGGTAGCAGGGACACATGGCTGAACACACTTTCACACTCTGTGTGCCCAGAGGGACCACGCTGTCTGTAAATCCTGTTCTTGGAGCAGTGAAAGTCAGTGCATTTTACTTTTAGATTCAAAGGGATGGCTGAATCTCACCATTCAGAAGTCATACCTTGACAATCCTCCCAGTCGTAGCAGGTGTCATAGCCACAGGGCACTTTCTTCACGCTATTTGTAGAGAGCTTTGCCCGCTCAATAGCCCAGTCCAGGTTGGAATTACCATGGCAAGGGCCAGCATGCAAGAAATGAAATGACTGCACTCCAAGGCACATTTCAGCTGAGTACTGACAGCTGGGCTTGGTCACATTCTGTTCAGAAACAGCATGTAGCACACAGATGTCTTCTGAGTAGTGGCTGCCCAAAGAAAGAAAAGAAAAATTATTTTAGCAGGCTATGGAACAAGTCCATACTTTTAAACAGTACATCAGCATCAGATGAAACACAGCAAAGCCATGGCCAGGATGGAGAGTCACCTAAAGACCTAAGGCTGCCCTAGCTATTGCAGGACCTGGACCTGATAAAACAAGTGCTGTGAGATGGGGAAGTTTTGGTCCTGTCCAGCCATTAGGAGGTGAAGGACATGTATCTGTACAGGAAAAAGGAGAGGCTGTTACCTCCACAAGGATGTGAAATTTCCACTGGGCCTGGGCGGGTTTTCTGAGTTAATGCATCCCTGCAGCTGTGTGTGCAACTCTATCTCTGACACGCAGGTGTCTAGGGACCAGGCAAAAACAGTCACGTGGCTTGTAGTTTACTTTTTTCTGTACTGCTCTCGGTTACTGAGTGAATTAATTCCTAGAAGGTGCATGCATTTCCAAGCAGCATCATTTTGTGGAGCTTAGTCATCTTCCAAAAAGAGGGTCATAAAATCATAGAATGGTTTGGACTGGAAGGAACCTTAGAGATCACAGTTCTTGCATACTCCTTGTGCATGGTGATGACATTGGAGAAATAAAGAGAAGAAAAGAGTTTCCAGGAGTCTCTGTTTCCAGACTTTCCAGGGGTCTCCAGGAGCAGAGAGCAGTGTAGATTAAAAGGATGTGCTGTGGTGTCTCATTACAGTAATGTAACTGGGTTCATTAGAGGGAGCAGATTATGGGCAGTGACCCTGCATATCAATTCAGCCACGGTGAGGGACATGTGGAGAGCTGCGTCCAGTTCTGGGCTCCTCAGCACAACAGAGGCATGAAACTCCTGGAGCAGGTCTAGTGGAGGGTTACAAAGATGATCAAGGGACTGGAGTATCCCTATTATGAGAAAAAAAGCTGTGGAAGCTGTCTCTGTTCAGCCTTGGGAAGAGACAGCTGAGGGGGACCTCATCAGTGTCTGTCGGGGTCTGCAGGGAGGGGTCAGAGCAGGGACCGGGCTCTGCTCGGTGCTGCTGAGCAATAGGACAAGAGGCAATGGGCAGTGAGTGGTGCACAGAAAATTCAACCTGAACAGAAGGAAGAAGTGGATTGTTGTGGATGAAATAGTTTGCACAGAGAGGTTGTGGAGTCTCCCTCACTGGAAACACCCAAGCACAATCTGCACACAAGCTTGTGCCGTGTGCTCTGGGATGGCTCTGCTTGACCAGGGAGGCTGGGCCAGGAGATCACTGGGGACCCCTCCAACCTAGTCCATTCTGTTACTCTGTAACTTTTTATTTATTTCATAGGCTACAAACAGGACTGTAATTTGAATACAGGGGAACAGCTAGGTAATATCTGAAGAGAGAGTAGTCTTGATTTGCAGTTGTCTTTTCCTGCTCTTCCTGTTTGGTGTCACAATGGCTTCTTGGTCTATCATTAGAGAAGCTTTGATTTCTAATTACAGCACTTACCCACAATCTTCTTCTGGAGACATACAAACACACTGAGATCCAACCTGTTTTTGTCCTGGACTGCAAATACCTCTAATTTTGGTTAGCACATCTGAAACAAGAAGTGAGAACTACCATAACTAGTAAGGAGAGAACAGAAATATCTTATACTCCTACCATAAAAGCTAAAATGGATTTATTTCTCTTTGTCCTAAGTTTCTCTTTTCAAAAGCTCCCTCGTTGGCATGCCACAAGTATTTTCATCAGTCTTTGTAAAAATCACTGGAAAATAACAAGAGCAGCTAAAGTTTCAATAGAATGCATTTTCCTACTTTGCTTTCACAAAGCCTCGTTAATGCAGTTGGGGTTTAGTTTGATTTGGTTTTGATTTTAAGCAAACAGTTGCAGTGTCTCAATTTCATTATTAAAGTTTACAGTACATTGCATCCAAAAATTCTAAACTTAATGCAGAAGTTTAGAGCTGAAATTCTGTCACCATAGGAGACAAAAAGAAAAACTATAATTAATGAACAGCTGCTATATGTCTTAAACCCAGTCATCAGCCTTCTAGTTCTAGCTAGCTGAAATAGACAGTACTGTTAATACCAGCAATATGGAAACAGTAAGTATCTGCAGGCATACTAACCTTTTTCACATGTAATAGACCTCAAAATAGGAGGTATCCAGGACAAGTCTTTCCCACAGGTATACTTTGCGTGACCAGTGACTATAAACCCAGCTTGGCAGCTCAGCTTCATTGTTTCACCAATGCTGTACTGTTGCTTATATGGGGAAATTGTGACACTGTCAGATATTGGTGGCCTGAGGCATACTGAGGCTGTAACAAACAATTAAAAAAAGCATAATTCTTGTTGGTTTAATGCTCTGTGGATATTTACAGAAAGTGATAATGCTTTATCTGAAGAACCATATAAAGACACTCAGTAATACTGAACATTTGTCTGACATTCAAAACTAATAAAAAATTAGCATAATTAAGTCTAGAAATTTTCAGTGCACTGTCATAGTCTTTAAAATATTTTTCAAGTAATAACTAAATAATGACAAAATGTTTCTAATGTATGCCAATATAAGTAATTTAATTTTGTTGTTTAAAAATAGTAAGAATGCCATTTAACAGCATTTTTTAATTTTTCCTTTTGTAAATGGAAGAAAGTCAATGGCAATAAAAAGCTCATAAGTATATTCAGGTTCTTCTTTTTGTTAAAATGAAGACTAAGTCAATACACCAAGTTTTAGAAAACTATTGAAATCTCTCTTGTTAGCAAATACAGACCGATTCTGATCCTTAATTCTTAACTGACCTATAAATTCTTAAAGGCACTGATTTATAGCAGAGATTTTCAAGGCAGCCTGGGAGGTCATAGTTAGAAACACGTCATCCATTTAATATAAAAACAGTAGACAAATTTCTGTAGGAATTATTTCTTCTTCATAACTGCATCAACCTAAAGACATCTATGTAAGTCTGAAAACAAAAGGCGAGTTCTTTTGTTAAAGCTATTTAAAACTAGAAAAGAGAAGGATCTCGCAGCATCCATCTGAGGATTTTCTAATGCACTGCATATTACAATTTCCTTACAAAGCACATAATAGCAACACTTCTGAATTGAAAGGGGAGTGATGTAGTGACTCACGATGTTTTTGCCACGTCTACATGAAATACCTTCTTAAAATGCTATCTTTTCAGATATGTTAGAGATTCATTTCTAAAAGACCTTTATTAGAATCTTTTTTGTATGTTTTCTTCCCCTTCTATTTTGTTGCTGTGCATTTTGTTCATTATGTCTTTCTTACGTTGGCACTCAATATGTTGCTGTGTCCAGGTTTGATCTGGCAGACACCGAAGGTATTGATAGCCACTGAGGCTATGCCCACTCACACACGCAATTTCAACTTCCTCTCCAACAGCATACTGGTTCTTTTCATTTTAAAAAAAAAAAAAAAAAAAAAATTAAAATAATAATAATTAAAAAAAATTAAGAAACCCACATCAAAAAGCTCTGTGAGGATCTATGGTAACGAGACTGGGCATTGTCAAAGGAAACAATAGTGAAATCCTGATAAGATGTAATGAATGCATGCATTTTCTACTCTGAAATATGAGTCATCCACTCACCAATATAATGATAACTTTTTCCAGTTGCAGTAACTGGTGTCATGGTTACCAAACAAGGATTCAAGGACCACTTGAAATGAATTTTACCTTGACTTTGCTTCAGTTGCTGGTGTAGTGTGGTGGGCTAGAGTCCTGCAGCATTCCTTGAACACAGCACTTCCACTAGCATGGTAGCTAGATTGGATATCAGGCACATACAGCAGAGAAGCGCAAAATTTCCAATCTCTGCAACTACTACACTTTGCTTCTGTATCATTGTTCATGCTCACCCTGATAAAGCCGTATTCTGGTGGTTCTGGCCTAGAACATCCAGATGCAGGTTCACCAATCAAGACATTCTCTTCTCTCTTGGCTTCATCATCATTTATACAAGGAGCACCTCTGAAAAGTGAAAATTTGCTGTAAGGCTGTATCTTAAGCATTCACATCACCAAGTAACAATGGCAGAAAGTCAGGAGAGTTGCAAGTGTGTCCTGTCATCCTCCCCCTATAATTTTATTCTTTTAAATAAAAGATGGTGGACAAAACTGCAGGTTGATAAGGGGGAGAGCATGAGAGCAGTAAAAAGCACTAAATGCATCTATCAACATAATTAATTAAATATTTTCGTACAGCAAGAAAAAGAGTCAGCAAAGAATAACCTAATAGGACATCTCTAAATAATCCATGTAATTCTGTTGCCCCAAGGCAGTGGTTAAAGGTGCTGGTCTCTTATGGTGTCTAACTGAGTGTGGAGCCCACTGCTTGTAATCTTCTCCTATTCACTCCAGCAAGGAAAAAAACCTGAAGCCTTGGGCTTGAAGATGAAAAAAAATTGAGCCAGTTTGGAGTTAGGATTTGAAATTGAAACCATGCTAAAATGGTAAATCAGGCATACTTGGAGTGGAAATATGAGAAACTTGGTAGCTTCATCCAAACTCTCTCTGTGACTGAGTTCAGATCTAAATCTCTTAGAAAAGAGGGGATAGGGAAAAAAATAGAAACTGTGAACTCCCATGAAGAGGAGGAAAAGATTTTTCCTTGGCTTTGGAAAAGAAGCCACGCAAAGCAGCATACAAGATCTACAGGCATGCTTTAGTATTCAATTAATCAGCAATTTTCTAGGAATAAAACATTAATAAATCCGAATGCGAAGCAAATTGCAGAGATTTTCAGAGTTTGCCTTTTCTATGCTCCACCAAAGAAATTCAGAGGGCAAAGTTGTCTGCTATTTCTCCTTGGTAGTCACAGAGCCACTCTGGAGCTCTCCTTAACTATCCCATGACTAAGGAGATCTTTTGATCTTCTTACCTGTCTGTGAACACAGAGATGTAACAGTCCTCCTCTTCTTCCCGCTCCCCTTCACATGGCTTCCCACCGTTCATTGGGGAGGGGTTATTGCATTCCCGGGTCCTTCTTTTTTTGAAGGAAGCATCGCATGGACTCCATTCAGACCAGCAACCCCATCGGCCATCAACAGCAACTGCAAGGAATAAAAGAGACACCATATTTTATTGGCAGACCAGTACCATACACAATGTTTTTTTTAAGGCCACACATGAGAGGGATGATGGTAAATTCATATTAGCCATTTTCAGAAAATTTAAAGTTAAGGTTAAGGGAATAGCTCGCATCTAGAACATAAAATTTTCCAAATGCTGTCCAGTTAAATTCCAGCTGCTTCATAAAAGCCAAAAATACTTTACCTCCCTATTTTTGGCTGCAAGAAACATTAAAATTCAGAAGCAGCATATTTTACACTTTTACTGGGCTCACAGATGTGTGTGTTTTCATGTACTGACAAGTTTCTTAGATAGGTAATTATTTAATGAGTTTTCAACTAAAACTGAGTTCTAACACCATGTCTAAACCCCAAATCTACATCCTATGCCAGTTACATTAAAACATTACTATTACTGTTTTCTCTTAACCCCTGGCATCTATTATCTGTATCAGCATGAAACATGCATCATTTTTTTCCTTACACACCCTTTCTTTTCTGCATGCAATAGACTTTCTGTATCCATCTCTGTCTTCAGTTGTTTGTTCCTTTCAAAATATTCCTCCATCAGGGTCAGACAATGAGAACTGTACGTGCCCGAGTGACTTTAACTTATGCTCCCTTTTGACTGGGGAATATAAACATATATCATGTCTCCTTTGTTTCCCTTAGGTATGGCACTAGTGCAAATTTAATTCAAAAACGTTTTTGCATTAAATTGCTCTTTAAATCTTCCAGAATGGTGATTATGTTCTCTCTCCTTATGACAACTGAGTTTTCCTTCTAAACTGTAATCAATTTTTATGTTCATTAGCCATTTAGTCTTAAGCATAATAGGCTATAGGGAAAACTAAGCAATAGGTTTCTTAATTTTTCACATCAATTATCTTTGATCTCAGCTTCACCTTATTGCTGAATCGCTCATTTCAAATTACCTTAATTATGTAGATAAGGAATATTTTACCATGTCTCACACTGTCCTTGGAGTCATGGCTCTCCAGTTTGATTTTTTCATTTGCAATCTCTACATTTACCCTTATGCTTTTTGGACATCACCATGTGGTAAGAAGCGCTGTGCCTTCAGCAAGGGCAGGTTATGGCAGATTAACCCCGTCAAAGAGACAGCGGAAGGCCGAGGTTACCTGGAGCGTGTCCCGGAGCCCGCGTGGCGCAGTGGGGGCCGTGGGTGCCGGGCGGGCAGAGGCACAGGCACCGAGTGCCCGCGAGCACGGGCCGGCCGCCGCCGGGGCACGGCGCGCAGCGGCACGCGTCCAGCCCGCCCGCCTGCTCCCGCAGCGCCCGCCGCAGGTGGCGGCGCTTGGTCACCGCGCACGGCACGTTCCGCACCAGGTCCACGATGGGCGACACCTGGCAGAGAGCTGGTCAGTCAGCGGGAACCGCAACGCCCTCACTGGGGCAGCCAGAGCTTTTTGAAGGAGCTAGAGGCTACATACGAAGCTGTATCACGCAGGAATTACGGATGTTTTAAAGGAGAACGGCAGTGCTATACATATATGTTATCCTGTTTCAGTGCTTGTATCAGAGCCAGGCAGTGAAACACTGGCTGCTCTGACAGTGCATCTGTAGTTCAACAAAGCTGAGAGGTCACCTGGGGCAGCTGAGGGAAATTGATCTCTCAGGGTAAGTAACAGGACATGGGCCCTGTTCTTTTATCTCCCCAGTTTAGGACTCTGTGAGCAAGGGGAGAATCAACCAAGTGGGATACTATGTCCTAAAATTCAGGACACTCTCTACCACACATCACATCACTATGTGATGTAGTATGGTTGTGTTTGAGGGTCCTAGGATGAGGGAAGAGATGAGAATCTTGACTCCATGTTTCAGAAGGCTGATTTATTATATTATGGTATTATATTATATTAAAATGCTATACTAAAACTATGCTAAAAAGAATAGAGAGAAAGGATCTATCGGAAGGCAGGAAAGGAAAGGAAAGGAGAAAGGAAAGGATCTTGTGATTGCTCGCAGCCTTGACACAGGTGGCTGTCATTGGTCATCAAGTAAAAACAATTCCACATGCTGGGTAAACAGTTCTCCAAATCACATACCAAAGCAGCAAAACTTGAAGAAGCTGAAGCTTCCCAGCTTCTCAGGAGAAAAGATCCTGGTAAAAGGATTTTTCATAAAATACGTCTGTGACAATGTAGGGTTTGCTTACATCCAGTCCCTGTCATGTCAGACATCCCTATGTTGCCTTCAGGAGTTCAGCAGCTGCAGCAGGACAGACCTCAGTGGATGCTGGATTCAGGCAGGTTTTGCTGTTTGCCTCAAGTGCTGCTGAGCAGCTGCTGCACCAGCTGAGGAGGGAGACAGCTCGGTGCACTCACAGCAGCAGCGGCATGCTGCACTGAAGGAGCAGGACAGAGACAGAGGGTGTTCCTGTTTTATTTCAGTTTAGCTATGTGACATACTTTTCAACATAGGCCTGACAAGGGAATGATACCATGCACTGTTTTCCTGCACAGCAACTAACCCCTGCCTATGCCTGAACTCGGGCTGGTGCTAGAGCAAGTAATTCACATTCCTCACTCTTAATCCCACTCTCCATGGACAATGCAAAACAAGTGTGCCTTATAAACCAACATGCATAAGAAGTTGTCCTAATAAAAGTTCTGTATGTTTATGTTACGCCCATATTTATCTACATTCATTCACACACATCATCATTCCTTTTTACAGGGAAAAAAATATCTGCACAGCCCTATGAAGAGCAGTTAGTCTTTGTTATCTCAGTGTTTTTCTTGTTCTTCTCTTACCTCAAAGTCAATCACCACAGGATTGTCCTTTGTTGATTCCAGCCAGTCTCTGAAGACTGTGTGTCCTGGAAAAGCCCCCTTTTTCTCCCAGGCCAGAGCTGCTGCATACTCTGACCTGCCACCTTTTACCAGGGAAATTGATCGTTCGGCTGACTCCAAAATGGAACCTGAAAGATGATTCCATCACAGTATTTTCAGAAAAAGGCTTCCAAAGACAACATATGTGACAACACAACTATAAGAAAAAGTATAAGAGGATATTAAAGAATATACGAAGATTAGTTTTTTTAAACTATCCTTGGAAAAATGAAGTAAAATCTCAGAAGAACAATCCCTGCCTGCTATGACAGAAGCCTGTGATAATATTTCAAATGAAAGTGTTTGAGACCTGAGCCATGGGGATATCGAGAGTGTAAGACAATAGTGGAAAATGCAGAGGATGCAGTAGCCTCCTCTAGAGCACACAGCATGGTAGGAGACTACCTCTTGAATGCACAGCATGGCAGGTTCAGTCCTTGCTGTAAACATCCAAGTAAAAGATATCAACTACTGAGGACAAAAACATGGTGGAAGTGATGAAATTCCTATCCTTAGTGATGCAGAACACGACTCCTGCCATCCTCATGGAAAATGCACCAGCTTACTGCAGTTTCTGAGACACATTTCTGGCACCCTGGTGCCTAAATATCTGCTTGGCTTGAGGAAGGGGGGAAGGAAAAGTCAGGGAGTGTGTTATTACAGCCCAACTCTCTCAATGAGCTCTGAGCAACCCTTAAAGAAGATCAGGGACTGAGTTATAAACACAAATTTCTAGCTTTGCTCATTTTTCAGTTCAGCATTCCTGGCCCTGGACCCAGGGTGAGGGGTAATGTTTGGCAGATCTGTGACCAGCCGGAGAGCCAGTGATACCAGATCCCCAGTGATGGCACTTCAGAGCAGAGAAATAACACACCTACATCATAATTTCTTTTGCAAATGAGAATCTGATTTCAGTGCATTGTCTGGCTCTGAGTATCAGAGCCAGACAATGAAATACTGGCTGCTCTGACAGTGCATTTGTAGTTCAACAAAGCTGAGAGGTCACCTGGGGCAGCTGAGGGAAATTGATCTCTCAGGGTAAGTAACAGGACATGGGTCCTGTTCTCATCATGCTCACCTTCATGTTTCACAGTCATCCTGTTTGTGGTGCATTTGGTACTGACTTTCTTTTTCTTTATGAAGAACACACGCCTGATTGTTTCTGTTCGGACACACTCTGTTGATTCCTCAATAGACAGGCCTAGAAATAGCACACAGCAGCATCTCTATCAGCACAACTATGATATATGGTGGGCATCATGCCCTAAGCTCCCACACTGAGGTGAGCTGGCAACTTCCCATGCTCCTCATCAGCCACTGGAGATGTCACTACAGCAGGCACGTGCTGCCCCACGTACAGTGTTGGACAGAGGTATGCTTCAGCTACCCTCCCATGCCATGCAAGTTACAGTAGTGGCATTAAAGGTCACAGCTTTTCACTTTAGATTTCCATTTTTGTGGTGGTGTATTTTCATTTTGAGAGTCTAGCAGTCATGGGAAAATTTTAAAGTAGTTTCTAATCAGACCATCAACTTTATTGGCTGCATCCCAAAAAGTATCCCTTATACCTCTCAGACCTCAGTCCCATGCTGTAGGAACAACTGGAACAACTTTTCCTGGTGGCACCTGGTCTGAAGTTCTTAAGTGGTTTCACTGAACACAGTGACATTTACCAAATAAGGAATCTCCTGAACTTTTCAAATACAGTGTAGAGCAAAAATTTCTTCTTGCTCTATATGTAAGCAGTGTGAGTAATTAATGAGTCTGTGAATGTCTAAAGAATTTTTTGCTGTTGAAGAACTTACTCTGTGGTGTAAGACCTAAAAGCAGGGATAAGAAAAGCTGTTAAACAAATAATTACATTTTCTTGTTAAAGATTACATACCTGAGTTCTGCAGTTCCTCAGAGCTATATTGGTAAAGAATATCATAGGAACCACCCATCTTCCCAGAGGTGTAGTAATGAGTGCCAAAGTCATCAAATATTCTGCTGTATAAAGCATAGTTGTACTCCAGGGGCAACTGGTTAAGTGCTTTTAGAAAGACGTCTGATAGCTGCAGATCTGACTGTTTCATTGTGAAGTTTGCAACAGAAATTACTTTATGGACTCTAATAAAGTTTGAGTTCTAGAAATAAGAAAAGGGGAGTCTTAGCACATTCAGAGGGAAGTAAGTGAAGAAACTAGAGGAGCCAAGAATATTAACATCTTATTTATACATATTTTAACATGTAGGTCTGTATGAAACGTCCCAAAGCACAGGAAAGTTCCCCTCTCTTTTTAAGTGATCAATATAGTATTCTTTTTTCACTCTATAAGGAAGTGTTGCAAATTTACTCGTAGGTCTCTCAAACATACACAAGTACACATCTGCCTAAAAAAACACTCACTAATACAATTTATGGAGACAGAGATAAAAAGAGAGGCTTCCTGTCTGATGCAGTTGATAACACAAGGAAGATCCAAGGTAATAGTCCTGCTGTTCATTGAGAAAGGATTTTAAACCATGTCATCTTTAGCCAACACCAGACTAAGTTATTGGTGGGTATCTGTGATTTCACATAGTCATGTAATTGTTTGGGTTGGAAGGGACCTTAAAGACCATCTAGGTTTAACACCACTGCTGTGGGCAGAAACAACTTCCACTGGACCAGGCTGCTCAAAGTGGCATCAAACCCAGCCTTGAGCACTCCCCACCATGGGGCATCCACAGCTTATCTGGGCAACCTGTTCCTGTGCCTCACCACCTTCCATGACAACAATGCTGAAAACCAACGTATATGCAAAATGAATTTTCTGTTGGAAGTTTAACCTAAATTAACATTTTCATAATTAGCTCTGGTCTAGGCTTAAACCAATAAGAAGCCACTGTTCCCCCAAAATAAACTTCCCAGTTGTACAAGAGAGCTGCCTGCTCTGTGTGCATGGGCATGAAAGTGAGCAGGTTTCCAGCAGCTGGAACTTCAGGATAGTTGTATTCAAACTAGAAGCAATGAACTGTTGAAGCAATCAAGTTGCTTAACCATTAGGACAAGTGAGCAAGTTCTGCAGCAAACTTCCATCATAGGAAGTCTTAATGTTAAGACTAATATTTTTGCCAAGTTTCACTGTTATTGCATTAGAACTCCTGGGTTTCAACAGGCCTTAGCTTCATTCATTCCTATGGCCTTTCCCATGCAGAAATGCAATAGTCCATCATTTACTGACATTAAGGTATAAAAATACATAATCTTTTACCCTACCAGTATTAATTTGCTTTAAAGGCAGAGAATCTTCTGGGAAAAATGTTACCTGTTCTGAGAAACTTTTCTGTGGGTGTGTTATTTCTGAGATTATCTTTATGACCAAATGCATCTTGGTGTTTGAGACTCCAACATGAGACTCCAATATGCAACTTAGTTACCAAATAAAAAAATAATGTAGATTAATACCCAGTACATGCATATGTATAACATTCTTGAGTGCACTTCCTTTATTTTTTTAGTTGTCTGCTGCTGTTAGGTATTATGCCCTCTTAATCTAATCAGAGTAGGGGAAGGAGTGGTTTACTGAATATGTCATACGCCAAATCTATGCTTTTTAAAAGCAGAGCAAGCCTATGTTTTCTGTACTAAACTCAGAAAACCATGATGCATTACAAAAGGTATGTTACAACCAGGAGCATGTTGTAGTATCAGAAGAGGATTTTTTCAATACCTAATTCTAGTGGGCCAATGTCTTGATAGGGAAAGTAGCCTTTGGCAGCTCAGTTCTGGAATGAGCAGACACAAATCAACTGAAAGAAAGAAATTGAAGGCAATATTCAACTACCTTTTCATACGAGGCTTCAATAGCTTTCTTGAACGATGAAGATGATGTAACCTGGACCCGTGTCTTTCTTGAGAATAAAAATGGGATACCAGAAGAATGTTTACCACTATGAGTAGATGAACTACTGCCAGAAGCACTTTCACTCAGGGGAGTTAAATCTTTGTAGAAATCTGATGTGACATCATCCTCTTCATCTGTTACCTGGCAATTCAGTAAAGCAAAATGCATTTGCATAATTGATAATATGAAATAGAAAACTATTAAGCAAAGAATTCTTGATTTTTTTAAATGTTTTTAAATGGAAAAAGTATGCCTGATTATTTGAGATGTGAAAGTAAGCTACACAAAAGATGAAACTGAGAAAGGCTAAGAGGCAAAATGAATACAAGCTAAGAACCAGACTTACTAATAGTTGTTGATACAACAACAACAAAAAAAGACAGTGTAGCACTTTCTTCTAAAGCTTCTCACCACTGGGCCCTAAACCTTAGGAATATTTTTCAACAAGTTCCAACATACTTTTAAAAGAATTCCAGACATACATGTTGTGTCCACATCATGACTACTTCCCAACCCCATGGCTTCTGTATTGTACAAGACAAGAGTTTTGTGCTTTCTGACCTTTCTTTTCAATTTCCAGCTAGAAGAATGAACAGGAGAGTCTTAGAGTATGCTTGGACTGTTAGCACCTATACTGCATGATGGATTAAAGGCACATGAAGAGGAATTGTGAGCAAACCTGCTGATCAAGTTGGTAAACCTCCAGTGATGGTGTTTAGCAGAGCACCAAGACAACCTCAGCATCAGATCAGAAATTACTTATTTCCCAAAATTTGGGAAAAATCCCTGTGTGTTTTTGAATAATGAGATTTTCCCCCCTTCTCTAGAACTGTTTGCTTAATAGGGCTGCTAGGGATTTTGGGAAATGAGGTGGCCCATTCTTCCCCCCTCCCTTCCATTTTTCAAGAAGTTTTACGCTTTTGCAAGAAAACAGACTGGAGTTCCAAGAAGCCCAATCCAATGACCCTTCTATATGAGAAGCTGCTCTAAATGTTAAAAGATAAAGGTGCACTCCTAAAGGTGAGTTTCACAAACCCTTAACAGTTCTGCAAATGGACATCAGTAACTTAATGAACTTTACTGGCTATAAAGAGACCTGGGCAAACCAAAGGTTGGTTTTCCCCTCTGAATATTTCTGCAGACAGTAATTTTTCACCATTGTTGACAGATCCTACATGTCATGGCCAATTCAATTGCAGTTTCTGTGGAACGTAGCAGGGTGTCCTTTTTTCAGTTGCCTCTGTTAAAATAATCCCAAAATCTCACAACACCTGTGGCAAAAATCATCAGTTTTCATCCATTAGTTGAGCTTTTTTCACATCCTGCATTCTTTTTTTCCCAATGCAGCATCTACTGGCTTCAAACAGGGCCTGATCATATGAACACATCCAGATGTTGTGCCCCAACCACAGTATTCAAAGCATTTTCTGAATGCTAGTGTCCATAAAAGAGTTATTAGTGGTTCCTAGATTTTTTATAAGATACACTCCACGTTCATTTTGGTCATTTCCCAGCCTGTCCTGTAAGCCTTCTCTCCAGGCTGTGTGTATTTTGTCCTCCTGCTTTCCAGGCTGAGTGCCTGCATTGAGTTCACACAGATCTGAAAAGCATGAGTGGAGCAGGAACTCTTATCCCCTTTCCACACATAACTGAAGCATGTTCGAGCCTCACCAGGTTGAGAAATTTTGTTCTAAAACATACAGTACTACCTAACACTTAAGCACTTATTTTGGATGGTGATTACAGTGAGGGTTTTATGGCTAGGAGCTGCTGCCTGAGAGTACCTGAAAGCTGACAGCCTCCAGATTCGCAGGGACACGATACAATTTCCTTGTCTCATTGTGCTTCACTGTTGTGCACCGTCCTCCATTGAATGAGTTGCCAAGAACTTCCCCTCGGCTCTCTCCTGACAGAATGTGAAATCTGACAAAAAATTTATTTCCAGATATTAAGCAACTCCAGAAAGATGTATGGACTTGAAACATTTCATGGTATACAGCTGCACTGAGGTATTGTAGATTGGATTGAGAGCATGAGCATCTGGGTCTTGTTACTGCTTTGAAAGGAATTAAAAGAATTTCTCTTTCACACTAAATTCACCTGAGAAATGCAGGAGCATTTTTTGCAGTAGCATCAATCCAGTTTCTTACTTTCCAGCAGTGCATAACCTTACTGATAACCCCAAAGTCAGCATAAGGCAGTCAGTCTTAAGTGGAGAACCTAAAAATATTCTAGGAAAATGAACTACTCATTCTCTATTTCTACCATAAGTGATGTTACTGGACCACAGTTCAAAATTCAATTAAAAAATGCAAGTCTGCTAGGGATAGGCATCCCATGTTTAGGCTTTATATTGCTTTAATTAATAGTGTGGAAGTAGGTGGTATCTTGTGAAATGTCACACAGACAAACAACATCTGTAGAGAGGCATCCTCAAATTTCTGAAGCATTTGGCATGATGTACAGGTAGGTAATTCCATGAGCTGGAAGTTGCCCGTACATGCTCTGGTTGCTGTGGGACAGAACAACTGACTTGGGGACAGTGTTCCTTGACACCTCTTCATCTGGTCTACCAGCAGTGCAGAGCAGGACTGGAAGATGCAGCAGGCCAGTCCTAGTCTAATTTTTTTGTTGTATTTTTATAATTCCTTGCCAGTTTTAATTTGAGAGATTATATGCTTTAATGAATGCTCTCACATGCTTACTGGGAATTATTTTGTTCATGTAAATTAGCGAGGTAACAACTAAAGCTTACAAAAAGATTAGCAGAATTGGCTTACCCACTGCCTATTAATTGCACACCTGGGATGCTCTCATACTTTCGGTTACACACAGTCTTTTTGCTTCTACAGTTTCTTTCATCAGAGTTGTCCCCACAGTCATTTTCTCCATTACATTCCAGTGTTTTTGAAATACAGCGACCTGCACCAGAGAAACAGCAGCAGCAAAAGTTCATCATGTCTAAGTGCAGAAAAGGGCAGTCTTGTCTTTTCCCCTTGCAAAGGTGTGAGCTTGCCATAGATGTTAACACTGAATTAGTATAAAGCCAGGATTATCCCAATTAAGAAATTATTATTTCAATTCTGTGAGTTTTGCCTCATTTCAAAGCTGCATAGGCTTAATTTTAAGTTTGGCAAAAGGATATGTGGATAAAATTATTTAGTTTAATCAGGTATATTTAAATTGAAGCAAACAAAAAATAGCCACAAACCTAATAAAAATAGTGAGAATTTATATTCAGACAAACTCTACAGTTATGTTTGTATATGAAAAATTTGTGCAAAGAAATATAATTGGAACAGTGCTACTGTCCAGCTATCATGATCATAGTGACACCCCTGGCTACAGACTGCATTTTAATTACTTATAGAAGCAACTGAAAAGATAAGCTGTTACTAATACATATAAAATCCTCACATAACTTTTCTCCTTGTCCATTTTCCCTAGAATTTATGCATGGAATGTATGGATGTCTTTTGTCTCAGTATCTAAAATTTGACTAAATGGTAATGCTGCAGTTACAACAACGGGGATTATCATTACCACTCTCACACCGAAATTTATTCTTGCAGTCAACTTCCACTATGTTGCAGAGCTTAGCTGGGAAACATGGACGGGAATCCACCAGTGGCTCAGTACAGGCCTGGCCCCCAAACTGGGATGGTCGCAGGAGTGGCCGGGTACGGAACTGAAAGGCAGAAGAAACAAACCCAGGGTTGTTTTTGGGAGCTGTTTGTAGCTAAGTCCCACCCCAGGCAGAGCCACACACATCAGTGCTGCTGAAGCTTTATCAGAACCACAGCCCTGAAGGAAATAGTCAGTGATTCTTGTCCTTCCATTCTACCATGCCATCATCCCAGGTGAGGCAGGCAGGGAACTGGTATCCAAGAACCTCATTAGTCCTGATGGAGCATAAATGATTAAACTGCAGACTGCCTGGTCTACATCACCCAAGGAATCAGAAATTCCATCCCTGTATCTTCAGTATATGCAGTAGAAAATTATGTGAGAACAGGCTTACAGAGATTTTTTCTGTTCTTTATCATCTCTGTTGAATTAGAAATACCCTGACAGTGACAACCCAGCTGGCTTGACTCCCACATGTGGGACCGCTTGTCTGAGGAGAACTGGATTACTTGAGAGGACAGAAAAGCTTTCCCTGAAAGTTTCTGGGAGCTCATTGAGTTTTCTTTCCCTCAGACAGCACCCTCCACACAGAACAGTAAAGTTGAAGAGTGATAGATAAACCACTTCAGATATATTTTCCACTCCACTTCACAGAACTTCTGGTGAGACCTGTCTGTGTGTGCCTGAACAGATTCTCCTCTAAGAATTTTTCCCACTGGAAAAATATGGTTCCTTGCAGACTTCCCTCCCTGTAGACAGACGCTGTAGACAGGGCAGGAAGATTCTAGTGAAAATAAGTAACCAAGTGACTCTGAAGGGAGAGTGCTAAGAGCAACACCAGAAAGTCTTCAAGCTCATGAGAACCATTCTTTACTCTCCATTTCAGATTCATAACATTCACTACATTATTTGTCAGAGCTTCCACTTCTTTATCCCTCCCCATCAGTGGGAACTTGCTTACACTAGTCTTCATTCTTACACTGTAAACCAGCTCCTCCATTCTGTTGTTTATTCCTATTTATAAATGACACAAGCAATGATCTTTACAGTTTGTAGGGGAAAATGGACCAGAGTCCACAAAAGCACCTGTTTGTTTTAAGCATATATGTTGTATCAAGACTTAAAACTAGTAAAAATGAATACATTTATATGTAATATAAGGTAAGAAACTCAGACTTATAAGAGGGTATTGAAATCAGTCCAGTTCCCTGGACTGGGAACTTTCACTTCTTGAAGCTTTCTGTGTCCCAGTCTCTCACTGATTCTCCTTATTCTGCTCTCATACTGCCCATTCCAATTGCAATCCCACAGGCTGGTTCACCTTTCACACGTAGAACAGCTTTTGTGTGTCTTTCTCACCCTATTTGGGCAACAGAAAGTTAGATATATGTGTAAAGATATACTTATGATGTCTGACAGGTTTTTCAGGGTTGCTTTTTGCTTTTCAGGCATGGATTTCTGAAACCAAAGGGTACATGCAGAGGGACATGGGCTGTGCCTGTACAGAACCGCAGAGTTGCTCTCATGGTCAGCTTCAAAGCTCATACCCACCAGCCATACAATTACCCCACACAATCTGCTGTCCTCTATCCTCTACAACCTTACATTTGACAGGCCTTGGTTTGTTTAGATCAAATTCACTTTAACCTGATTTTTCATTTCTTCCCTCTCTACTGTCTCACCTCTAAGTGTACCATCGTCAACAGAGAAAAGCCCAAGAGGAAAAAACACCATCCTGGGTGTTTGTCCCACAGATATTAGCACATCTACTTGTGGAGATGGGTGGATTTGTACATGCTATGAAGGTTCAGGGAATGATGCTCTGTATTTCTTAAGAGCAATCTCAAACTGATCCTGACTATCAGTGTAAGATACAGCCTGAGAATTTCTAGCCAACAGCAATTAGGATTTGTTGACTCTTTTCAAGAGATGATTTGATAATATTTTTCTTGTCTTTAGAACATACAGAATGTTATGGATAAGCAAAGATTCTGTGACTTTCTCCTGCTTAAGCCAACATTAACACTTTACTGAATACAATTCAGTTGATTCTTTTTGCGAAAAATTCACCTTTAACTATGGCAGTGGAAACTTTGAAGCAAGTTTATGATAAGCATCACAAGCAGTATCATAAATGGATTTACTCTACTAAAACCCCTTTCTGGTTTGATCTGCTTATTTTAACTTGCTCTCTTCAGCTCCTACTGTATAATTCATAACCAATTTCCCTTGTTAACTTAAACTCTCATTTTCCAGATTAATTGCTGTAAAGTTGAAACAAAGAGATCTCCTTAGCATAATTTCTTGCATTTAGCCCATATAATGCATTTTCTACCTACTTGTTTTTTAACACAGGGGTCACATTCTGACCAAGGGCCAAAGTCTCCAAGCTGACAGTTGATAGGACATGTTTGCTGGTTACATGGACGAGATTCTTGCTTTTTGCACAGCTGGTCACAGAAGTTTTGGCTATAATATTCATCCATTCTTATTTGCCTAAAAAAGTTTGAAAAATTATGCTAGGAAAGAATAGACAGACCGTAGGTGTTCTCTACTTGTGGGTGAAGGCTGACAAAATTACTTGAACTAAGAAACCCTGAGAGATAATACACATTTGGCAGAACGTTGATTACAAGAAAAATCCAAATATGCCTTAAGTTTAAAGAGCAATTCTTTTTGATTCATGTCACTTCAGATGTCCCAGAGGATAGCTACAGACAGAGCCAGGAGGAAAAGAGGGGATTTTTCATAAGTTTAGATTATACCACAGTGCTGCATCAAATTTGATGCTGCTGAATCTTTATTTGACATCATCTGTTGTCTTAAAACTAATAGTGCAGGAAGGAAATTTGGAGCTCGCTCCTCCTGTGGCATTGTGCCAGTGCAGGGCCCCCAGAGCCTCATGTGTCTTCAGGGGCTGAACACCCAAAGCACGCTGCCAGCAAGTCCACTGCAGGACCTGGCTGTCCTCCCCTCATTACATCTATCAGCAGATATCGGTTTGTTTGGAGGCTCCTAGGATTAGAATGGTCTGAGTTAGAAGGGATCTCAAGGATCATTTAATTCCAGCCCTTCCCTTCCCTCCCTGCCTCACAGGCAGTAATGTTCTAGATACTAAATTTTGTAATTTTAAAGCATTGTGATTAAAAGATGATCTATTTATCTGCTAAACACTTGAGCATGACAATTTTTCTCAATATATTGTGGAAGGCGGCGATTTGGATATGGGTGCCACTCTCCAGAAGTGTTATTTTTCACAGAAGAGAAACACAGAAGCAGTGAGATGGCTTGGCCCTACCTGTGCCTGGTCTGTGTGCCAAAGTTGCAGGTCTGTGAGCAGGCAGACCACGACCCCCATGGGTAATGTTCACAGTAGCACCCCTGGCTGCTCCCAATCACCAGGCTCAGCAGGACCAGGAGCACTGGCACAGTCATGCCCGTGGCAAATGTGTCCATCTACAGAGATGAGCAACAAAAGCTCAAGAAATTATCACTTAGTTATGCCAGGGTTCTTACAGAGATGTCTCTTCTGAAACTCACAGTCTATAAATCTGCTTCAAAATACAAAGATGCCAAGCAGAACATCTAGAAAGGGAGAATCATGCATGATAGACATATAATAATAGACATAATACAGTAATTCAGTCAATACTTCAAGGACTAGAAGTCACAATGGGTTTTTTGGCCACTTATTTATCAGGAGTACTAACACAATTGTGCATTACTGTTCTTTCAGATGTTGCTTATAAATTATTTTGAATGTGACAAACAAAGATCTGTTATTGTTCTTCATTGCTCAGAAGTATCCTCAAAAATATTTTCTAGAAATAAGAATAAAAATATGAGAGTTCTTCCTATACAGTGTGTAAAACAACAAACAAGACCTTAAGACTTAGGCAGCCCCATCTACTAGCCTGTTACAAATTAATTTTTACATGCCTATAAAAACTTATGCTTTTCATAAGCATTTTATTGCAGTGAATTCTCCCTTCTCAAAGTTTTGACTAGCCTGTTGAAACTGCAAACCATCACTATTCAAAGCTGATCTGAATTTTCCACCAGCAGTAGAAAGAGAGCATCTAGCCTGTTTCTCACTCCAGTGGTCAATCAAACTTTATTTGCTGAGACAGGAGGTTATTGGCAGCATTTAGGAAGTAATAATACTGGGTAAACCAAAAAAAAAAAAAAAAAAAAAAAAAAAAAAAAAAAAAAAAAAAAAAAAAAATGATGCAAACCTCATCATGAGGTTGAATCAACACTAAATCTGATAAGCTGTTACAGTAGAGCATTATAAATTTGGTTTATCTCAAAAATCCCCCCCCAAATTCAGTAGGACATTTAAAAACTGAAGTATTTTTTTCGAAAAAATACTCCAAAATACTTAGTTTCAAAAAGTTTCAAATGAATTGTGCAATTGCTTTATTGTTTTTTTTTTCTTTAAGGTTTTTAGCCACATATGCTATTATGATTTTTATACTTTGCTGAAAAAAATGAAATTCCATCAAATCCAGCCATTGCTTCCTCCCTTAGCAAAGAAAGGCAGTAGGTCTTCACACTGTTGTGCAGTGAGAACTTGCAGCATTTTTACATTGAAAGCTTATGAATGAACAAGCCTTTCAGAGAAATTTAAGTATAATCAAATAAAAATATGATAAGAGAGAGGAAGTAGCAGTCTTGCCAGTGAGAAGAGAACAGATATTTTCTTTTTCCTTACCTGACTTCCTGGCTTCTTGCACCAACAATGCCGGCTTGGAAAAGAGACGAAGCCCTACGCAACAATTACTTGCTTTATTCCATCACTGTGCTGTACATAGAGAAACACTCTTTGTTCTCATCAGTGAGCAAAACATCAACGCATCAGTGCATCAGAAACCATATAAATATTAGCCCACGAGAGAGTAATTCAACATTTTAAAGAAATAGAAGAAAACCTACTAAACACTTTTCCATAGGTCTGGTAACCTGTGTGCATGGAGGCAACCAAAAATAAAAGTCCTCCTTTCTAACTTACTGTAAGTTTGTTACCTGAAAAGTCAGTGTATGTTGCAGACTCATGCCGCCCTGCTGTGTCTCACTGCAGCCTTTGAAATGAAAGGCCAGAGGCTTTGTTTGATTTGGTTATGTTTTAATGAAGGCAAATTGATCTGGTGGCAGGAGTGCTCACGAAATGGACTCTGTACCCCCAGGGAGATGTGTTCTACAGAAGTGTGGAGAGCCACCTCTTTGTACAAATGCAGATGTCCAGGATGAGCCAGGAGGAATCAAAGTTCACTTGCATTGGGCCACAGTGGCTCAATGCACTGCAGGTCTCTTTGTGCTGACCCAGAGAGCTGCACAGCCTCTCTGACTTCAGTCTGACAGCAAGACAGAATTTGGTAAGAAGGCTCATGCTTGTAACTCATTACTGCTTTCACAAGGAAACAGGAGACAGAGTCCAGGCTCAGGCAAAATACCTGTCTGCTGCTGCACCATCTCCACCAAAGGGGGTGCAGAGAAAGCAGAAGTCCAAATACGTTTGAGGTTATTTACAGCTGTTTGCCTTTTGCCCTCGAAGGCGAGATGTGTTCTCTGACCCTGGGCAAGTACAGCCAGCAGACAAGGACTGTGAGCCTCTGTCCTGCAGCATGGGCACCATCTCATGACTGAGGTGCCAAGGTAGGCATTGAAATGGTAAATGAGAGAATACACACATGCAGAACAGAAACAGCAAGGGCAAGTACAAAACAAGGAAGCAGTTTGCCCTAAAAAAAAAAAATCACAATATGAAATAGAATCCCTCACCTTCCAAATACCCAGCAAGGATTCCATGCAGAGGGCAATCCTGCATTGGGTCCCCTTGACTCCATTGGACTGGCAGAAATATGCCAAGATGTCAGAGTTCTCAAAACATATTTCCCAATTTGTTGGGATCCAAGATCATCTATATCCTTGGAAAAAACCTCAGACTGCCTGCATAGCTTCATTTTCCAGTTGCCTTTGCAGATTTTTTTTTAAATTCCGAGCTTGCCAAGAATTGTTGTTACACAACTTGAGCACAAAATTAGCAAAGTGATGTTCTGCCAGATCCTTATTACATTGTGTAAACTTGTCATAGGAAATCAAAATAGTCATCACTGGCTCTTTCATTGCTGCTGGGTGGGATTTTTAGTTATGTGAAAAATATTGTGTTCTACCCTCCAGAGAGCATCTTCTAAACCTCAGCACTCACAGCTCACTGAGGGCAGACCCTCCAGCCCCAGGAGATGCCTGGTTTCTCCCAGCCTTGCAGAAACAAGCCACAGCTGTGAGCTGCAAGTCGGTGTTTACAGTACATAATGCAGATGGCTAAAATCTTCTAGTTGAGAAACTATTTTTTTCACTTCTTTGTATCAGGATAAAAAGTAGTTACTAAAGATTTGTTAAATTTTAAAAGATTACAAAGGAAAGAGACTTCACGTAGTGTAAAAGCAGTCTTTTACAAAAGCAGTATTATAAAAAAAAGCCATTTGCAATTAGAGAACAAGCTCACAGACAAGCACCACACTCAGCATTAACAGAAATGTTAGGTGGAGATGGACACAGGGAGACCTCACACCAAAGCCAGGGCTTGAGAACAGCACGACTGCATCTATATTGAATGTTAGATGGGAGGTCATGTAAATCAGTTGCCTGAAACTTAGAGGCCACGGCAGCAAAGAGTGCTGCATGGGCTAACTCACTTTTTGGCAAAGCTGTGTACAGCTGCTGATGTGCCCCAGCAGGCTGTCAGCTCTTCTGCAAGCTGGCAAGGTGACAAGTGAAGGGTCTGGACCAGAACAACAAAGTAGGCACTCATGTTGTCACCAAGGTGACTAAAGAAAGGAGTTTTTCATTAAGTGTGGCAGCTCACTGCCTGTCACTGAAGGACTGCTCTCCATTTTATACCTGTTTCTCAAAGGTTTTGTCTACAGGATATCCTCAAAACTATCTCACTCTCTGCCCTGGATGGAGGTTAGCACTTGCATAAGTGCATCTTTCCCTTAAACTATTGGATATTCAAGGGCATCTTTAGCAGTGGACAGTACCCTAGTGTTCGTGTTCATCTTGTCTCCTGACAGCTAGAGAGATAAGCACTTAGAAATTCAGTCAGCAATATGGCAAATAATGGCTTGTACAAACCTGGTTACCTTACAGAACTGATTTTCACAGAGAAAAGCATCAACATGGAAAGATATTCCCATATCTGTGGTGCCTTACTGAGTCTCTAGTCTCAAGTTCTGGTGCAGTATTCCCTGAAGAATAGCACCAACACTGGAATGAAACTGGGAGCAGCCCAAAGAGGTCAGAGTGGAGGTGCTATTTTATTGTCCCCAGACTTTGGAAATGTCTATGTACATATTCATATCCTCAGTTTCATTATTTCTACAAGAAATATTTATCCAGGAAAACAAACATAACATCTCTTCATCTTTGCTGCAATGAATAAAACATCATTTTTCAAAGAATGTGGAAATATTACCTCAAAGAAATTCAGTGAGTATTCTGCCTGACACTGTAGCATTTCTAGCAGAGTTTCACAAGGTCATGTGTCATCTATTTCATCCTATATCTAATTCCTCATAGTCAGAAAACTGTGTTATTCTCCCAAGTCAGCCTCTAACTCCCCTCTTAGAGAAGCTCATGTTCTCACTGAAAGCCTCTGCTGAAGGGAGAAAGTCTAGAACGGCAAAGGGGAAAGGACAGAAGGGAACAGAAGGGAAGGGGGTAAACACCACAACATTTTTTAAGAGGTCAGCAAAACAAATCAAACAGGTCTTCAACTTAAGTGACATCCCCTGGTATTTTCCATACTCTCTGTACAGAGATGGGAAAAGCTGCTCATCCTGTCCCATAAAATTTGTATCTGTGGACTGTTACCACCAATCTTCTGTTCTTCAGATAATGAATAGCAAGAGCTTAGTGCACTACATCCCTCATCTCACACTGATCTTACAGACATAGCTTCAGCTGTCTGTGTTCTGACAAAATCTAGAGTTTTAAGAGCATAAAGTGATACTATTTACTAGACATTTTTTCCCCTCAAAATCTTCCTCAAAACAAAGCACAAGAGAAATATTTCACCCCTACACAGCAAATGAAAATTTACAGGATAGAGCAGGAGGAAAATATACCTTGCACTAAATTTAATAATTCAGAGTTGTTTTTCCTCCATATTTGCTCCCCATGAGAAGTGATATTAAAAAAAAAAAAAAAAAAAGAGACACCTTTAAGAACAAAGGCCATCTGAATGGCTTCAATACTGAACTGTTCTGACACATCCTGTGGCAACAAAAAAAGTGAACCGTAGAACATCCTATACAATCTGTCCCTCACTGTGCTGTCTGAGGACAGGGGTGGCAGTGCCACTGGCATGGCACGGTGGCAGGCAGCCCTGCATGCAGCCAGGCATCTGTCACTTGTGCTCTGCTTCACCAGGGATCCCATGCCTCTGCCTCCTCCCTGGCTGCCACTGCAGAGCTGAAGGAGGTGTGGGATTGAAGAGCAGAGTCAAGACTTGGAGAAGGGGGATTGAATCAGCATGAAGGATTCTGGGGAACAGCAGCACCTGTGAAGTAAAACTATTTATGTCCAAGGATTGGATGAGCAGATTCGGGTTTTATGAGGCAGAGTTTGGAATCAGCTTCCCTCTTCAGCTGCTTTGTTGAATGAACAAAGTCAGGCATTCTTTCTCTTATGCAGAATTTTCTGCTGCCTCAAGTTTAATTAATAATCCAGAAGTATTTGTAGCATCTGCAGTAGGACTTCATCATGTTAGGATTGTGGATGTGGGTGGGGATGTGGGTGTGGGTGTGAGTCTGATCAAGGCAATTTCAGGACAGCAGGAAGCAAAACTAGCTGCCACTTCTGAAAATATGTTCAGGATGTTTTGCTCTGGATTAGGCCCAGTTCAGGGTGTTCAGCTCTGAAAAGCACATTCACTGCTTGCACCACCAGGAGGTGATGCAAGGACAAACACTTTTTGCTGAGTTTTTGCCCTCTTGCTTGTACCCCATAGTAATGGTTGGCCTGGAGCTAAGGATGGAAACCCCAGCTCAGTACCTTCCTTTGTTTTCAGAACACTGTCTCATCACTTCTTTAGCCCACAGGATACCTGGAAATTAACTTAAAGCTTCTCACTTTTAGAAGGCACATTGGATTTTATCCCTATTGAGTGCCTAGCAATGACTCAGGCACACTACAGGCCTACCCCAACACAATTACAGCATAAACACATTCCCCTGAACCAAAAAAAACATCCGTTCTTCCAGGCCTGAAATGCCTTAAAAGTGGTTTTCATCTATCACACAGTGAAGGACCAAAATTATGGAGAAACTAAATCCCTGGTTCCATGCTTATAAGGCACCTTAGCAGCAGAAGAAGGGACTGGAACCAACCAGAAATGCTGCAGACAGGCATTCATCACTCAGTACTCGGCCCCCTCACCTGCTCATGAAAGGTGGGCGGAAAGGCAGCCACCCTTTGCATAGTACCCTGCTTTCCAAACCAGCTTCCAAGGGAGAAGGAGGCACCAGCTGAATAAGAGTCTGAGTCTGAGTCTGAGTCTGAGTCTGAGTCTGAGTCTGTCTGTCTGTCTGAGGAGAGTCACTCATCCTCCATAATACTGGCTGTAACAGAGAGCACCTCCTGCACCATAGCGAGGAACCTGCCGCAGCCACCACTGCACGGCCACAGAGGGATGAATGCAGGGGAGGGATGGCAGCATTTTGGCCACATGTGCCTGTTCTGCTTCATCAACCTGGCCCACAGCTCATGGCTGGACCATAAGCATCACTGCACATGAGCTGGCACCACCACTTTATCCTAAAGCGTCTGTCACGTGGCAAGGGGAGACCACAGTCTCGCATTTGCTGCCCAAATTACTTCTGTCACTGTTGAAGTCATTCAGCAAATTACCTCTCTCTTGGTACACATAGGCACTGGAGCACTGGCGTGAGAGAGGGATGCTGAGGTCTGAGACAGTGAACAAGACCAGATTTGGAATCCCTGAAACATCACCCAGCAAGACATGCTGGATACTGCATCTGTGCTTAGTTCTT